TTGCACGTAGGCCCTTCCTAACCACTCTACATACTTTGGTTACCTTGGTGTGTTGTGCAGGCTCCTGTGTCAGGTTAGGTCTCCGCTGGTGGGTTTTTGACGGGTTCCTTCATGGATATCCTACTCCCTCTTTGGGTCGTGGGTGCCGAGTTGTAAACCTGCTCGGATGAGGTGATCCTTGATGGACTTACCTCGCCTCCACGCAATCATTGGTGGATTTTGCGGGAAATTCTCCCAAGAGGGGTGGTCACTGTACATCTCCCTCATCCAGGTCCATACGTCTGAGAGTTTCTGTTTTAGTTTCCCAGCAAAACCAGGAAAGAACAGGGTAGGGAGGATCCATCTCCTATCCTCCAACCGTGGGGCCAGGGGCCTGAGAAGTTGTTCTCTGGTCTTTCTACGTAGTTTCTCTTGGGCGTGGTTCAGCGTTTCCTCAGGGTAACTTCTATGCCTAAACATCTCCCATAGGTCGTCTAGCTGGGGGTAGAGGGTTTCGTCCTTGCTGTTTATTCTTTTAAGGCGTAATCCTAGGGAGAAGGGTAATAAATAAATAAATGTTTATTTAGGTAAGGTACATACATAAAGAGATTTTACAAAGTTTGTTGGGTTAATAGATAGAGCTAGTACATACAATGCCTAAAGCCACTATTACGCAAAGCGTTTCCGGCAGGAAAAACATTAATGACTAAAGCTTAAAACTAATGGGTAAAAAGAATAAAATGTGTTGAGAACAAATAAAAATAGAGGTAAAAGAGGGGGGAACATGGTTGAAAAAGCAGCACAAATACAATTACAAATTATTACAGAAAATTACATTCAAACAGCGTTGTTTTGAAAAAAAAACAAAAAACAGACATGGGTTGACAATAGAGGGGTAAGGTAGGTTACAGGGAATGTATTAGGTATAGCTTCGTTTTTATCTTAAACTGGTTGAGAGAGGTACTGTCTTTAACATGGTTGGGAAGATCATTCCACATTCTGGGTCCCTTGATTTGTAGAGCATTTCTAGTTTGATTAAGTCGTACTCTAGGAATATCAAAACTGTATTTATTTCTGGTGTGGTGCTCAGTAATGATTTCTTTAGGGTTAGCGGATGGCATGAGTCGAACTTCAAGTATGTGCGAAGGTTCGTAGGTTTGTAACACGCCTTCGTGTTCAGGTGTCGGGTTGTTTCGTCCACGTACACCGTGGTGTCCAGGAAATTTATTGTGGTGTCGTCGTGTTCTGGAGTAAATTTGATATTTCCGTGGACTGTGTTCGCCCAGGCAAAGAAACCCTCTAGACGTGGGAGTCTGCCTGCCATGACTCCAAAGACATCGTCTATATATCTGTAGTACACTGCCGGGGCGTCTTCTCTGTGGGATCTCTTCCTTTCAAAAACTACATGCATAAAGATGTCAGCAATAGCCACGCTACTGGACGCTCCTATGGCAGTGCTCTTCGTCTGTCTATATGCCTTACCATCGAATTGAACGAGGGTATCCCTCATTACATGGAGTATTGCTTCCTCCAATAATTGCCTGCGAGGCGGCCTCCATACTCCCGCTTCTCGTAGTTGCTGTGTAATTTTGTGTTTGTTTTCATCAAAGAAGGTTGCTACCACTTTGGCTGCCTCTCTCTGTGGTATGCTCGGGTAGAGCGATGCACGTCCAATGAGAAAAGTCAGGCTCCGCTTGGAACTGGATTTCTCATGCTGGCTATCTTGTTCAGGAAGTCTGTTGTATCTTTAAGGCGTTTCGGTAGGAGTCGTAGAAGGGGGTTGAGGAAGGCTGTTTATATCCAGTGCACCGGTCTGGTAGGTGCCCGGCAGCCGCTCAGCACTGGTCTCCCCTGCCACGTTCCTGTCATCTCGTTCGGTGGTTTGTGAATCTTTGGTAGAAGATAAAGGTGTTGGATAGCTTTCTGTTTGTGGAGTGTTTATATGTTCAAGGATACTTAATTTAGCAGCAAGCTGAGTTTGAGAGTTATGTCTGATTAGTTCCTTTGGGCATGTAGCCCCAATGTTGTATCTAATAATAAACCAATGTACCATATAAATAAATAAATAAATATAGGTGTCATCTGCCAGGTTGACTGTTTATATTTTGTTAATTTATTATGCAGCCAAACCTATCCCGTGGGCAGTAGTGGAAAAGTTAGAGACTCACGAGCTCAACCCCAGAATTCATTTAGTTAAACAAGTAACAGTATTGTTCAGCTAGTTATATAGCTTAATGTATTTATATTAATAATCTATTAGAGCACAAGGGGCTTAAGAACTGGCCCACGACAGTCTTTCAGCAGATCAATTTACATTTAATCAATTTATCAAGGCAAATGGGGGGGGGGGAACTTCGACAATCCGCCGGCTTTCTGTCCGACGAGGGCCACTAGGGTTAGTGACACAGCTAAATGAGGTAACTCTGTGATGAGCCCGTTACATAATAATCCCGCATCCCCACACTCCATGCAGTGGGCGACAGCTGTGGAGAGTGTAGTCATGTAGTAGCCTTTACCTAAGGCCAAAAAGCTCTCGCACTAGAAAGTGGTAGTGTTAGTTTAGTTCATTTACTATGCACCCCATACCCATCCTGTGGGCGGTAGTGGAAAGGGTTACAGTGGCACATAATTTGTATATGATGTGCTTAATAATATCACCAGTGTCACATTATCAATATCACCAGTGTCACATTATCAATATCACCAGTGTCACATTATCAATATCACCAGTGTCACATTATCAATATCACCATTGTCACATTATCAATATCACCAGTGTCACATTATCAATATCACCAGTGTCACATTATCAATATCACCATTGTCACATTATCAATATCACCAGTGTCACATTATCAATATCACCAGTGTCACATTATCAATATCACCAGTGTCACATTATCAATATCACCAGTGTCACATTATCAATATCACCAGTGTCACATTATCAATATCACCATTGTCACATTATCAATATCACCAGTGTCACATTATCAATATCACCAGTGTCACATTATCAATATCACCATTGTCACATTATCAATATCACCAGTGTCACATTATCAATATCACCAGTGTCACATTATCAATATCACCAGTGTCACATTATCAATATCACCAGTGTCACATTATCAATATCACCAGTGTCACATTATCAATATCACCAGTGTCACATTATCAATATCACCAGTGTCACATTATCAATATCACCAGTGTCACATTATCAATATCACCAGTGTCACATTATCAATATCACCATTGTCACATTATCAATATCACCAGTGTCACATTATCAATATCACCAGTGTCACATTATCAATATCACCATTGTCACATTATCAATATCACCAGTGTCACATTATCAATATCACCAGTGTCACATTATCAATATCACCATTGATAATGACCACACACTCGTCTGTATAGTTAAGTAGTTCGGCTTTTGGTAACTTGAACTTTCACAATTGACTTGAGAATGGTCCAGGACGGACCGAAACGTCGTCGTCCCTTCACCTTCTAGTGTGTGGTCTGGTCAACATACTTTAGCCACGTTATTGTGACTCATCGCCTGCACTTGAGCTTCATGAATGTAGCATGAGACAGGTGAAGAGGAAGGGGCTTAGTATTCCTCCCTGCGGAGTCCCATTTTCCAGCCTCTTTGAAGAGGATATTTTACTTTGAAATTTGACTTTAGCTTCTCTGTTGAGCAGACATCATTTGGTTTTTATTTCCTTATCCACCTATATACAAGAAGGTACATTGGGTTTATGAGAGTACATAGTATTGATGTTTTTACATTCTTGTAAAGCTACTAACACGCATTGCATTTCGGGCAGGTCCTTAATCTAACACATAATTGTAAGTAGGTGATTTCTAGCAAAAGTGAAGATAAAATGTTAAAAGGTGCATTGTAAAAAAATCCTACAAAGATTAGTAGGTACATTAAAGTAAAATTTGAGGGTTATCAACAGGTACATTGTAGCATAATTTGAGGATTATTTCAAGGTATAATGCGGTAAAATATGCGTTCATTATAACAACAATGATATAAGATGATAGCAATAATTACAACGGTGAAGTTGTGTTGCTCAGGTGCATATATTGGGGGATTGAGTAGCACTAGATACAGTGCGAGTTTAAAGAACTAGGTAGGAAACTATGAAGATGAAATTAGGTATTTTTGGGTTTTATTTTTGAATAAGGCAAAGGTTGGACAGCTTTTCAATCCATAGACTAGGTCCCTTTATTTGCATAGTGTTTACACAGATTAAGTTTGACTCTGGGGATATCAAGGAGATATTTATTTCTGGTGTGGTGATTATGGGTTCTATTACAACTCTCCAGGGAGAGTTTCAGAACAGGGTTTGCATTTAAGAACAGGGCTTTGTAAATGTAGTTGACACACGAGAATGTGAGGAGGGAGTTTATGATTAGCATGTTTAGGGATTTAAACAGGAAGGAGGGGGGGGGGGAATGAGTGTTGTATGAAAGCAGAGTTTGTTAGTGTCCTGATAGCAGATTTTTGCTGGGTGATGATGGGCTTGAGGTGGTTTGCAGTGGTTGTACCCCGTGCACAGATACCATATGCAAGATAGGGATAGATTAGCGCGTAATATAGTAAGAGGAGAGCAGAGTTTGGAACATAATATCTGATTTTAGAGAGTATACCAACCGTTTTTGAGACTTTCTTGGTTATTTTTGTATGTGGGTGCTGAAGTTGAGTCTCTTGTCTAGCTTCCAAATAAGATGTAGTAGGTCTTTTCTATGTTTAGTGTGAGTTTCTTGGTTGACATCCATAAGTTGACTTTTTTTAGTTAATTATTCACAAAATTATTTAATATGTGTGGGTTGGGGTCTGAGTAGATGAGAGTAGTATCATCAACAAATAATATAGGTTTAAGAATGTTAGAGACACTTAACCTATCCAGAATAGAGACACTTACTCTGGATAGGTTACAATCACTTAGTTACTACAGAGTAACTGTACATTGTATCTGATATAGCGTTTGTCTGTTTTGCAGAAGACAAGAGTTACAATAAAATAATACAACTGTTTGGTGAAAGATGGGCAGAAAGCAGCTGCCAGCCCCAACGCTTAGAACTGCTACAAAAGCAACAGTTAAAACACAGTCATCAACAGGAACAAAAACTGCAGCAAGACAATAGGCGATTGTCAGTCTTGCAACACACACAGGTAAATGTCGTAGTTGTACATGTGTTGCAGTAGTGAGATGGGTTATTCTCGTATTTTGTACACAATGAGTCTTATTATTGCAGTCATTTATTATTTTTTCCTAAATTATTCTTAATATTACAGTCATTTTCGTCTTTTTTACAAAGTGATTCTTAATATTTGCAGTCATTTCTTCTTTTTTTACAGAATGATTCTTAATATTACAGTCATTTTCTTCTTTTTTACAAAGTGACTCTTAATATTGGGGTCATTTTCTTCTTTTTTACAAAGTGACTCTTAATTGGGGTCATTTTCTTCTTTTTTACAAAGTGACTCTTAATTTAGGGTCATTTTCTTCTTTTTTACAAAGTGACTCTTAATATTAGGGTCATTTTCTTCTTTTTTACAAAGTGACTCTTAATATTGGGGTCATTTTCTTCTTTTTTACAAAGTGACTCTTAATATTGAGGTCATTTTAACATACATTTTTTTTTTCAAAACAACGCTGTTTGAATGTAATTGTCTGTAATAATTTGTAATTGTATTTGTGCTGCATTTTCAGCCATGTTCCCCCCCTCTTTTACCTCTTTTTTATTTGTTCTCAACACATCTTATTCTTTATACCCAATTAGTATTAAGTTTTAGTCATTAATGTTTTTCCTGCCCGAAACGCTTTGCGTAATAGTGGCTTTAGGCATTGTATGTACTAGCTCTATCTATTAATCCAACAAACTTTGTAAAATCTCTTGTATGTACCTTACCTATATAAACATTTATTTATTTATTTATTTATTTATTTATTTATTTATTTATTTATTTATATAGTCGGGATTTTGTAATGTTTGAATTAACTTCAAAGGTTAGTTTATAAACGTGTTCTTGGATCCATCAAGATACTGCATGTTAACATGTGATGTCATAATTATTACAAGGGTTGTTTATGAACCGTATAATAATGTTAACTGAGAATAACACATAGAGGAGTTAAACTAGGCTCGGCCCCGCTAGGAATTAATTCCACAAGTCAACATAAAAAGACTGTTGTCTAGCTGATGACTGCCTTACTCCAGGCGAGGGAGGAGGTAAACTCCAGTTAAGACATACTCTATTTAATAATTACTGAAAACCTCCAAGTAGCATCACATGCTCTACCACATCCTTAGGATTGGGTGGTTATAGATAGGAGCTGCCTCGTATGGGCCAATAGGCTTTCTGCAGTTACCTTTGTTCTTATGTTCTTATCCTACTTTACGTTACATCTCAGACTCCACACAGGCAGGAGACGAGATGTACACACCAGCAAGCTAGTAGCACACCTAGGGGCTCCATTAAGGAGAACCTTCAAAACTTAACGTGAGACTTGCAAAATATGCGCTCTACTTGCTAGTGACTGGGTTCCAACTTACAGGATCCCCAGCTTCCAGCTAGGGGGTAACATACATAAAACTATTCTCAAAAGAGAAGGGTGACACATTACAAAATAGAGCTACTTAACTTAGAGAAGGAAGAAGGGCAGTTCCCCATGGTGTAGTGGTTAACACACTCGCCTAGCATTTTGCGAGCTCTTTGTCCTGGGTTCGTTGGATTTACTCGGTGCAAATCCTTAACTGTAGCCTCTGTTTAACCCGACAGTAAAATGGGTACCTGGTTGTTAAACGATTTGGCGAGATCGTATTCCAGGTGTGAAAATTTTCTTTACTTGTCCTTTTAAAGAAAGTAATTGATTGAATATTAATATATCCTCAGCCAGAAAGTACTGATTAGCCAATATGTTAAGTGTCAGTAGCAGCTTGTACTCTAAGGCTGACAATATGTAGATATGCGAGAGCAAACGCCACGGTTCCAACGATGGAAATCCTAATCCACTAGGTCGTTGAGTTCCTTCAGTGCTAACTGCAATTGTAAGGGTAACTCATGAGTTCTCACACCAAATTTAATTTGATGTGTGTGCAGCTATGAATCTGGGTCGAATCCTGAAGCAGGCCTTCATTAAAGATATCAAGAAGAGCTCGACATTGTTGCATAATATGTGTATTGGAAGAGATGGATGGTAACGCCATGGTGATGGAGATTGGCTGCTGGCCGACAGGCACAATCTTACACACTTCTACTCAAGACAACGCGGGGATCAGAATAGCTTGGCGAGGGCGAGGCGGGACTGAGCATGCTAGTCCCCTCTGTGTCCTGTGTCCCCAGCGTAGCGCGCCAAAGGTCTCTGGTGCCGCTACGACCTTTGGTCACGTGATGCCTGGGTGACGTGATGTCACCCGGCCGCTTCACGGAGGCAGCGAGGGAGACCGTTGGATCCTGTCCGCAAGCCCTCCCCGTTTTCCTTCCCGCTGACTACAGATTGATGATTGATTAAGATTAAGCCACCCAAGAAGTGGCACGGGCATGAATAGCCCGTAAGTGGTGGCCCTTTTGAGCCATTACCAGTATCAAGAGATGATACTGGAGATGTGTGGAGGTGCGACTGCACCCTGCGGGACGGGAGATGTCTCCCGTGACTGACTACACAATTCTCACGTAAATCATGCCAATGTCTGTAACTCTGCTCACAGATGCGCTACAGTGGCCCCTGTAGTCTTAATGGAATGGTCTGGAGCTAGGCTACCCATAGACTCCAAGCAAGAAATGTTTCGTGGAAGAATTACGGAATCTAGAAAAGAGTGCATGACTGTGCCACGTGTCTCAGTGCACAGTAACGGTTTAAGCACTCCCACAGTCTAAAAGGAGCCGGTCGGCCGAGCAGACAGCACGCTGGACTTGTGATCCTGGGTTCGATCCCAGGCGCCTGCGAGAAACAATGGGCAGAGTTTGTTTCACCCTATGCCCCTGTTACCTAACAGTAAAATAGGTACCTGGGTGTTAGTCAGCTGTCACGGGCTGCTTCCTGGGAGTGGAGGCCTGGTCGAGGACCGGGCCGCGGGGACACTAAAGCCCCGAAATCATCTCAAGATAATCTCAAGAAAAAGTTAGCTGGAAAATTCCATCCCCTCACACCAGGGAACAGGATTAAGGACCTGCCCGAAATGCTACGCGTGCTAGTGGCTGTGCAATAATGTAAGAACTCTTGTATATATAAATAAAAAATAAAGTTCGACACCTGCCCTGACCAGCACCTAACTACGTCGCGAAGGAAAGAGAGCAAAAGATCGCGGTTGGGTCCCTGAGCCCATTATGTGCCTCTGTAACCCTTTCCACTACCGCCCACAAGATGGGTATGGGGTGCATAATAAATGAACTAAACTAAAACTAACTGGTGCACCCGTGTGCATTTGGGTAATTGTATCGCATTTTAATTTTGATAATTTGAGAGATTGTGTAACCCTTCCCTTTCCCCCACTTCTCTTCACACACAGGTCACTCAGAGAACACTCTTCCCTCATCCTAAATGTAATTTTTTATATGTAAAAATAGTTTATGTTATTTAATTTTAATAGGAATTCACGTATGCATATGTTTTAATCCCAGGCTGATCGTGAAGTAAACGGGGGCGACTGCAGCCATTCCTCCAAATACTCCACAACACCTGCAAGAACAGATTTAGGCTGTTGGACACAAAATTTACCAACCTCACAGAACTATAAGGACCACAAGACTGGTATCAGTGAAGCTAGGAGGAAGTATAAGCAGTTTGAGAATTTAAAAAAGTTATATGAACTCTCTAAACGACATCGTCAATGGAAAAAACCTCACAAGACTCATAACTATTATAATGATAATGTAGAATATGACAGAAGTGGATGGATAAGGAGGCTGCAAAATAAGGACCGTCTTGTGTCAGGTCATGGTGTTGTTACCCAGAATGAGGTGGATAAAGTGAGCAAGCCTTCAACCTCACAAGTAGTGGCCTCGGCACGACACTCACACACGCTGCCAGATAAGATTCATGTTGCAACAGAAGACATAGGTGCCAGTAGACGCAGCAACATTAAAACAGTAGAGATCTACAGTAACCATTCTCGCAGGACCAATGTTAAAAGCTCAACACATTTTAAAAGAGTGCATGACATTTACTTGGAAAATATAAACAATAATCAGAAATGCTTGTCCTCACCATACCTTACACTGGCTTCATGCAAAAATTACGGCGATTACAAGATTGGCTCAAGTTTCCATTATGATATTTTGGATCCCATGTGGTCTCACCAGAAATGTACTGATTCTGGCAGCATGTCTCCAAAGATCGTAGAGTCAATAGTGAAAGACTCAAGTATGTCTAGTGCTTGTCCCCAACAACTCGACAATAATTTTCAGAAGCATGCTTATCCCTGTTCACCTTATGTTAAGAAAGAATTATTAACTGATTCGGATAATTCTCCCCTTCAAGCTGTTTTGAAAATGAACTTATTTAGTTCACCAGCAAAAAGTATTCCCATCATCTCTGATGTTTCTAAAAGCCCTATTTACGAAACCAAACATTGTAATTGTGGACCTACAGCCCCTCTTTCACCATGGAATACTTGGAGTTTACTTCCAAGAAGCCCTTCATTTTTCTCTGCCACAGCAGCAGTATTCAGTGGAAAAGCGTTGGTTAATGAAAACACCGAGGGAGTGTTTATGTCTCCATGATCACTACCAAGAGGCATGGAAATGTACACCACGGACTAGGCCTTATGTGCTCTTAGGTGTCATCAAAGAAACCTCAAGCTCAAATTTTTCTTTTTATACTGGGTATGGTAACATTACTTACGGAGAGCAGAACACCAAGAAATCCAATGTGTAAAGTGGAAGTATGAACTAAGATACAGTGTTTGTGAATTACAATTGACTGATTGTACACAGGAATTTGATTTGCTGTGATGGTTTGAATGAGAATTAGTAATGAAATATTCGTATACTGTATATAGAGTTAAAGTAATATCTGCACTGGATCTATTTAATTTCAAGCAGGCAATATAGCACAGATGAATTATTTTATTTTTGCTGTTATACTTGATTGTATTAATTCTATTAAGGATTCAGTTCATACTTAATTCATTGTGATCAGTATTTCACTTCTTTATCATTACTTTTATTATATGTATTAATCATTTGCGTGCTTGTCGGAGTAATTAGTGCGTAGCCGAATACAGTATAGCGTTTCCATACGATTAATTCATATAGGTAGGAAATTTGATTTTTCTTATAATATTTCTTCATAGTTGTTCTCGATGTGTTTATCTGGCTGTAATGTTGAGGCCTTCAGTATTATACTGTATTTTGAGGATAGTTGGAAGCACACAAAGTAATATGGAACCTGAACATTGCTTCTGGTCACATTCAGATAATCACGTAAGGTCTGTGTGCTCTTATCATTTATTAATTTGTCTTGCTTACATGTGATTGAAACAAATTTATAAGTTTGCATTTAATTCATTTCGTGTTTATTTTTATACAATTAATTGGTAAGAAAAATTGCCCGAATTAAGGCAAATTTTGTTTTATAGTAATTTCATGTCATTTCGTAATTCAGTGATTACCCTATGTAACAATATTTTTTCTTTTGGTCCCTGGGTAGTATTATCTCCTAATTACTTATGCCTCCGAAGTATAGATAAATTGCTATTATTTTCCTCAAACTTTGCTTTGACTTGCCGTAGAGAGCTTAGGGAAGACGTCTTGAAGGTAAAGAAGGTCATCGAGTCCTATTGTGGAACTGCGACAATTTGTTGCAGCTCAAGATAAGACGTCAACAGCCTTCAAGTAACTCTCAAGACATCTTTGTAAGCTCTCTAAGGCTAAGTCTAAGTAAAGTTTGATGCGAATAATAGCCATTTTCATAACTTGATTTATTTATATATATATTTTTTAATATATACAAGAGTTCTTACATTCTTGTACAGCCACTAGCACGCATAGTGTTTCGGGCAAGTCCTTAATCCTAATTTTCCCCGTAATACGACTTACCACGGCATGGGGAATATACTTTGGAGGCATAATTAATTAGGATATAACACTTACTACCTAGGTATAAAAATTGTGTTAATAGCTACAAGGATCTTTTTTTGTTATCCACACATTTTTTTAATTAAATTAGTATCCCTGCAATGATTACATAGTCTTCGAAAAAAATCTCTTTCTCGTACACACACACACACACACACACACACACACACACTTCTATTCTAACTTCTATTCTAGCTTTCTAACTTCAGAATTGCATTTAAATACATGGATGGCGATATACTAAAGAAATTGTTCATGACTTTTGTTACAGCTGTTGTGTGGTGCCCATATCTTAAGAAGCACATCAACAAACTGGAAAAGGTGCAAAGACATGCTACAAGTGGCTCCCAGAACTGAAGGGCAAGAGCTACGAGGAGAGGTTACACACTACGTACAAAATAGTAACAGGACGACAGGGAAGACTTCCTGAGACCTGGAACTTCAAGACATAGATTTAAACTAGCTAAACACAGATGCCGACAGAGTGGTACACACACACACACTTAGGTAATTACACACACACACACACACACACACACACACACACACACACACACATACACACACATATAACAGAGTGGTAGACGGTTGGAACAAGTTAGGTGAGAAGGTGGTGGAGGCCAAGACCGTCAGTAGTTTCAAAGCGTTATATGACAAAGAGTGCTGGGAAGACGGGACACCACGAGCGTAGCTCTCATCCTGTAACTACACTTAGGTAATTACACACACACACACACACACACACACACACACACACACACACACACACACACACACACACATATATATATATATATATATATATATATATATATATATATATATATATATATATATATATATATATATAATATATATATATATATATATATACATATATATATATATATATATATATATAATATATATATATATATATATATATATATATATATATATATATATATATATATATATATATATAATATATGCATACCAAAAGAATAGGGGTGGTAGGAGAAGAAAATATCAGTGTTCAGTGAGGATCCACAAGGTCTTCTCTGAGTACTCTTTATTTTCTTCTCCGAGGCTATGGGTCCCTACACTTGCACCAGAGGTGGTACCCCTTCTAGGTAAAATATATATATATATATATATATATATATATATATATATATATATATATATATATATATATATATATATATATATATATATATATATATATATATATATACATTCCAGGAATCAGACCAAAAATAAAGAGTGAAAATGAACTCTGGAGTTAATTTTTCAACAATCCCCGACAGTGAAGAAAAACATAAGAAATATTGAGAAGATTCGTGTTAGAATCATTAATCTTGCCCTTTCGGTCATATTCAATAATATATATATATTTGTTTTTCTCATTAAAATATTGACGAAAATGCTGTTTCATTTTCTTATGTAAATGTCACATTTTCAAAAGGCGGCAAATTATAATAAACAGAGGACGTGTGCGATTTTCATCACACTGTATATTTATAAATTAATATGCAACAACAATCATGAAACTCTGAGATTTAGATGTGCAGGAAATACACATTGAAAAATGGTAGTAAAACTAGGACTTTTTAGCCGTTAAACCATTCTATCTTAACTGCGGAAGAAGGCAGGTCTAACGGCTGAAAACGTGATACGGTTGTACTTTCATGTTTAAATGTAGTTTTTCCTGCATAAATTATTATATTTGAAATGTTATAGTATTTATTTGCATGAAAGTGGACAGTTTATGAGCCCCATACCCATCCTTTAGGCGGTAGTGGTCTATACCGAGTATATTATATCAAATTAAATGAAATGTTTATTCAGGTAAAGAACATACATACAAGGTGACATTTATATATATATATATATATATATATATATATATATATATATATATATATATATATATATATATATATATATATATATACAAGAAGGTACATTGGGTTTGTGAGAATACATTGGATAGTACAGTATTTACATTCTTGTAAAACCACTAGTACGCGCAGCGTTTCGGGCAGGTCCTTAATCTAGCAGATAATTTTAAGTAGGTAATTTCTACCAGAATTGATAAATGATAAAGATACATTGCAAGAGAAAAATGAGATGAGAGAGCTTAGTAAGTATATTAAAGCACATTGTTATATTAAAGCTCTGATTGATTACATTGACAGCTTGATAGTAATTTAAACAAGATTAATAGACACCATACAGCAGATTGACAGCACATATAAGACAGCAATGATCACAATGGTAAAGATGTTCAGATTGGGTACATGAAGATTGGGAGACTGGGTAGCAAAAGATACAGATAAACAAGATTTATAAACACCATACAACAGATTGGCAGCACATATAAGAAAACAGCAGTGATCACAATGGTAAAGATGTTCAAATTGGGAACATAAAGGTTGGGAGATTGGGTAGCAATAGATACAGTGCAGTTTTAAGGCAAAAAGTGAAAAACTATGAAGATGAAATTAGGTACTTTTTAGTATTGATTTTGAATGATGTAAAAGTTGGACAGCTTTTCAATTCAGTAGGGAGTGAGTTCCATAAACTGGGTCCCTTTATTTGCATAGAATGTTTACACAGATTAAGTTTAACTCTGGGGATATCAAAGAGATATTTATTTCTGGTGTGGTGATAATGGGTCCTATTACATCTGTCCAGGAAGAGTTTCAGACAAGGATTTGCATTTAAGAACAGGGTTTTGTAAATGTAGTTGACACAAGAGAATTTGTGGAGTGAGATTATGTTTAGCATGTTTAGGGAGTTAAACAAGGGGGCTGTGTGTTGTCTGAAAGCAGAATTTGATATTATTCTGATAGCAGATTTTTGCTGGGTGATGATGGACATACAAACTTGACTTGTTTGATGGCTTGATGATGGACATACAAACATAATTTTGAATTTACAGATAGATCTAATACATACAACACCTAAAGCCACTAGTACGCACAGCATTTCGGGCAAGGTGTGAGAAAAAACACTTAGACTAGAACTTAATGTCAACAACTTCAGACCTATATCAATTCTGCCAAACTTGTCAAAAATATTTGAAAAACTAATCTACAAGCAGCTTTACTCTTATCTAGCCAAGCTCAATATACTTAGCTCTTGTCAATATGGCTTCAACCCCCCAAAAAGCACTAACGATGCACTTATTATTTATTTTATTTATTTATTTATTTATGCATATACAAGAATGTACATAAGGAATGTGAGGATACAAATATGGTAATTACAGTCTTGTAAAGCCACTAGCACGCGCAGCGTTTCGGGCAGGTCCTTAATCTAAGAAAATTTTAAGGAGGTAAATACTTGCAAAATTTATAGACAAAAAAATGATAACAGATTACATGGAATGAAAAAAAAGAAGATGAGAGAAAATTATAGGTACAGTATATTAAAGCACATAGGTAGCTATGATTGATTGCAATGACAGCTTAAAATGGTAGTTGACAACAAATTGGTAGGCACAATACAGCAGAAACAATATAAGATTGATTGCAATGACAGCTTGGATGGTAGTTGACAAAAATTGGTAGTCACAATACAGCATATGGCTAGCACATAAAAGAAGACAGCAATGAACACAATGATAAGGTTGTTTGATATTACATAAAAATTAGGAGATTGGGTAACACTAGGTACAGAGCAAATTTAAAGCTCAGTGTAGGAAACTAAATAGATGAAGTTAGGTACTTTTTGGTTTTGCTTTTAAATAAGGCAAAAGTTTTACAGTTTTTCAATTCGCTAGGGAGTGAGTTCCATAGACTAGGTCCCTTAATTTGCATAGAGTGTTTACACAGATTAAGTTTGACCCTGGGGATATCAAAGATATATTTATTTCTGGTGTGGTGATAATGGGTCCTATTACATCTGTCCAGGGAGAGTTTCAGAGCATAGTTTGCATTTAAGAACAGGGTTTTGTAAATGTAGTTGACACAAGAGAATGTGTGGAGGGAGTTAATATTTAGCAAGTTTAGGGATTTAAACAAGGGAGCTGAGTGTTGTCTGAAAGCAGAGTTAGTTATTATTCTGATAGCAGATTTTTGCTGTGTGATGATGGGCTTAAGGTGGTTTGCAGTGGTAGACCCCCATGCACAGATACCATAATTAAGATAGGGGTAGATTAGTGCATAATATAGTGAGAGGAGAGCAGAGTTAGGAACATAATATCTGATTTTGGAGAGTATACCAACTGTCTTAGAGACTTTCTTAGTTATGTGTTGAATGTGGGTGCTGAAGTTGAGTCTCTTGTCTAGGAATAGGCCAAGAAACTTGCCATCATTTTTATTACTGATGTTAATGTTGTCTATCTGTAGCTGAATTGCATTTGATGATTTGCTTCCAAATAAGATGTAGTAAGTCTTTTCGATGTTTAATGTTAGTTTGTTCGTTGACATCCATAAGTGGACTTTTTTTAATTCATTATTCACAACATTATTTAGTGTATGTGGGTTGAGGTTTGAGTAGATAAGGGTAGTATCGTCAGCAAACAATATAGGGTTGAGAATATTAGAGACATTAGGCAGATCGTTTATATATATAAGAAATAGAAGAGGTCCTAAGATGCTGCCCTGTGGCACTCCAACGGTAATTGGTAGAGTGGAAGAAGTTGTATCATTGATGGTTACATATTGGTGTCTGTCACTAAGATAGGATCGGATGTAGTCAAGGGCAAGGCCTCGGATTCCATAATGCTGGAGTTTAAGTAAGAGGTAGTTGTGATTAACAGTATCAAAGGCTTTTCTTAGGTCAATGAAGAGTCCAATCGGAAACTCATTTTTGTCAAGGGCTGAGTAGATAATGTCAAGGAGACTAATGATTGCATCATTGGTGCTCTTTTGGGACCGGAAGCCAAACTGGCAGGGGCTGAGTATGTCGAATTTTACGAGGTAGGAATAGAGCTGTTTGTAAATAATTTTTTCAAATATTTTTGATAGAATGGGTAGATTTGATATTGGTCTATAATTGTTTATGTCCGCCGGATTGCCTCCTTTATGGACTGGCGTTACTCTTGCTTTTTTGAGGATATCAGGGAAGGTGTGATACTCTATAGATTTGTTGAACAGTAGTGCTATGGGTGGGGCAAGGGCATGGGAGGCTCTCTTGTACACAATGGACGGAATTTCACTGGTGTTCCCTGCCTTG